GTGTAGTTTGGTCTACTTATGGGACTAACAGTGGAAGCAAGTGTTGTACCTAATTCTCTGGCTGGCTTTTGGGAACTTATTCCTCAAACAGGGTGCCTTGTCCAGCCTTTCATACAAGGGAGGAGCTTAGCCCTACCCAAACCTGATAGGCCATGCCTTGTTGCTATCCATGGGAGGCCTGCCCTTTTCTGAACAGAAAGGGAGAAGAGGGAGGGGAAAACAAACAAAAAGAAAAAGAATAAAGCTTCCTCAAATGTAGCTTTTTCTTAAAAAAAAAAAAAAAAAAAAAAAATTCCCAAGGAATATGTGTGAATTGGTCAAACATATAGAAAATTAGAAATAATTTCCATAACATCTGCACAAGGGCAATACTATTATCATGGCGGCATAGTTCCTCTGGGTTTGCTATCTTCTCCCCCTTATTTCTGATTACACTCTTCTAATTCTGCTTTATCATCCTCGGTGTACACTGTTTCTCTCTGCAACACCATGTATAATGAATTCTTACGCTGGAAAACTGTTACAGAAGGGAGATGGGCAGACAATCTGGCAGGCAGACAATACTCTGTGAGAACACTGGGGCCGGGTTAGGCCAGGGGTCCTAGATTACAACCAGAGACCTGTCAATGACAAGATATCATTCCCATCACACCACACAATTCATCAGACCTAATTTTTCCATTTGCCAAAATGCTTGCCAAGGCACTGGTCTGGCAGAGAGGAGATGGCTAGTGTCTCTACTACTTTGTCAGACAAGTAGATGGTTACAGTGTGAACAATATGGGGTCAGCACTTGAGAAAAAACACCCCAACAGGAAGTAAGACAGCTCTGTGACAGGTTAGGTAGAGAAAAAGACAGAAAGCAATTCAAGGCACTGGACTACCAACAGCTGACTCCAAGGGAGCCAGGCAGCATTTGGGGGACTTTAGATGCAATATGGCATATACTACATACATTTTTACTTTTCTCTATTTCTGAAAGTCTCTAATATAGCTTCAAAAAACTACAAAGGAAAATCAGGCCTGGTGGCTCACATCTGTCATACTAGCACTCAAGAGGCAGGAAGATCACCACAAATCTGAGGCCAGCCTAGTCTACACAGTAAGTTCCAATCCAGTCAGCAATACCTACCTAGTGAGAGCCCACATCAAATAAACAAGGCCAGAGAGATGTCTCAGCGGGTAAAGTAAAGGCATCTGCTGGTAATTCTGGGCACCTGAGCTGGATCCCCCATCCCTATATGGTGGGTCCCTCCATGGACTCCTTCATGCTAGTTGTCCACTGACAAATATGAGAAGTAGGAAAGAAAGAGCATGTGCAGGGTATCCATTTCTTCATCAACATAGTGAGAAGTCAATGTTCTTACAGGAGGGACCAGAAAGCAGAAGTCAGGTATGTTGTTATTTTTAAAAACTACATTACAGTAGAGCTAAAAATGAGTAGGAGATTAATAAAGCTGGTAATGAATAATGAATAAGATGCTGCTGACAGTATAGCAGTCAACAGGAAACAAAATAAAAACCTCACAAGCAAGCTAAAGGTACCAGCTACCTCTGAGGAGTACACAGCAAGAAGTGAAGGTCAGTTCTTGCTCTCCGCTTACTTCCCCTGGTACTGCTTAATGTTCTACGTGGTGTTTGCATTTGCTGGAAAAGATGAGGGTTCAACAATTTGGAGGAGAGCAGAGGAAAAGAACCACGTTTTGAGTGTAGGGGCTTGAGAAGAACAAGAAGTACAAAAGTTGTTAAACTGTCAATACCAAAGCACGATAACCACAATAGGAAGAATCCTTCACCTTGAAAGCAAGTAAGAGCAGGGCCAAGCATATAAGGGCTAAGGCCTTTGTGTACCTGATCACCCACCCCCACTCATGCTCTCTCTCAGTATAAGCAGGTTACAGCTCCAGCAGTTAAAGAACCTCCTCTTGACATCTACTCTGAAACATAAGTGAACTATTCGTACATCTTATGAAGGACCACATTAAAGGTGTGTGTGTGTGTGTGTGTGTGTGGGTAAACTGAGATTACATCTAAAAATGTAAAATCATAACCATTGGCTCAGGGATACCAATGGAGGGGACCAACTCTTGCCTTCCTCTTCCTTCTCTTTTGTTCTGATGAATCATCCATAGCTTATTAATATGTAAAATGCTACTGGAGAATCTGAGTGCTACAATCGAAGTAGAAATCTTGTCAATTATTTAAGTCCATCAATTAATGGAAACAAACTAATAAGATGCTGATGGCCGTGCAAAGGCACGGAGAGAATCTGTACACATTAGAGTCCCTCAGCCTCAAACCCTGTGAGCTCAATACAAACCATTAGGACCGGCAGGCATCTATGCAGAAGGAGTGAACTCTTGGGATTGTAAAGAAAAGTACAAATGACAGAGGCGACTGTCAATAATGCCAGAGATGGTGAGCTGTGGGGGAGCACTCTGGCCTGGGAGTTGTGCTCAACAGCTGGCTCTGGAGAGAGGAACAGGGCAGGTGGCTCGTGGGGCCTAGAGGCATGCCATTGTCTGTAAAGGGTTCCAGCAGCTTGGGAACAAGACCCCTCCCCCACCCCTCATTTCCTGTTTCTCCACCCAGGGTGGTTTGGTGTTCTTCAGTAACACCTGGGTACTATACAGCCTGTGCTAAGTAGCAAGGAGTCCTGGATTAAATTTGACCTCTGTTCTTTGTGAAAGATGCTTCATCTCTCCGAACTTAATTTTCTCTTTTATAAAATGAGGACAATATCCCACTAAGCACTTTGTATTCAGACAATGAGATACAATATATGAAAGTGCTGGGACACTAGTTAGCAAATAATGGCTTCTATGTTTTCTACGCGTGGCCAAGGTGCTCACAGGACTCATGCTCCCTTAAGAAGTGGCAGTCCAGGCACACCAGAGTGGAAAGGATGCTTCTGTCCCCAGTGGCATGTGACTAGAAGGAATGCACACTGTGTAAGCCAGAGCTTCTTAGAACCAGCTACAACTTCTCTTTCTGCTTCCATGACCTGTGTCTGCTAAATGCAGAAGATGCTAATGAGCCCAAAATAATGATGAACCCACAAGAAGGAGCCACTTGAAAAGCAGGAACACCCATGTGGACTGTTAATCACACTGTTACATGAAGCTGCTTAAAGACTGTCATTTACTTGTTATAGCCCTGAATGTGAACTTCACCATAAAACAGGCTATGTGGTAACTATTCGAATAGTAGTGCTGATGGTGTTGAACTCTGAGTCTAACACACTGTCATCAATGACATTAAAAAATCATGGACCAGCTGCATAGTTCAATGGGAGCAACTGCCTAGCAGAATTCTGGCAACCAACCAACCAATCAACCACAAAGGCAGACATTAGAAAAGAAATTATAGCCAAATAAGTGTATGAAAAGATGCTTAGCAGCATCACTCATGGGAAATGCAAATCAAAGCCTCAAGGGGCCCAATTCATTGCCCCTAGGGCTGATTGTAGCTCACACAGCCTGCAAGAATGAGGAACTGGTCTTTCACATGCTGCTGAAGGCCATGCAAAGTGGCTCAGCAGTTCTTCAAAGAGCTAAGTACAGTTACTCTAATAGCAGTGTTGAGTTTAATACTGTCATTGATGCCATCAAGAAGTGTCATGCAACATTTTTGCTCCTAGGTATACATCCAAGAACAACGAAACAGTGTGTCCATACACTCTCCTGTAAGGAATATGCAAAACAACCTTATTCATTAAAGCTAAAGAGGAAAAACTAATTCAAATATCTGTCAGGATGAACAACCAAAGAAAATAAGGTCACACACTAGAATATTATTCACCCAGACAAAAGAAAATCGTCATATGTGACACAATTCATCTCTAGGATGAACTGGTGAACATGCCAAGGAGAAGAAAATGAGGACAAAAGATCATACAGCAAATGATTCCATTTCCATAGGCTTCCCATAGTTTGCAAATCCAGAGACAAAGTAAATTACTAGATGCTAGAACAGCTGGAGGGAAATAGGTTTACTTGGGGGAAGGCGTACTGAAATCATTGCAGAACATCAGATAGTGATCAATGCATAATTGCATAATTCTGTGAATGCACTAAAAACCACTGTTACACACATTGTAAGTGTGAACTTAGAGCACATGAAGGTGTTATCATTTGGATGTAAAATGCTCCTCAAAGGCCCATGCTAAAGGCTGGTTCAGTCGCCAGCCTGTTGTGGTTCTGGGAGGTGGTAGCCAGAGGCATGGCCTGGAAGGTGATACTGAGGTTCCAGGGCTTCCTTTCCTCCAGCTCTCCACAGGCCACTTGGAAAGCTCATGACCATGGGCAGGAACCTCTGAAACACAAGCCTAAGTAAACCTTTCATCTGTGTAAGCTGTTTCTCAGTGCTGAGTCATGGGGTGGAAATCTGACTAATAGAGGATTTTAATTTGGTTTTTAAAGATGAAATCTCAGCTTTGCTGTTTTGTCTCCCAGAAGAAACTCTCCCACAATAGGTATCACGCTCTCTTTATGCATCATGGTTAAAGAACTGGCCAGAACCCACAGACCCCTTCTTTCTAGGTATTCCCACAGCAAGGTAAGCTCGAATAGACACCCAGTGCCGAAGGCCTGTGAAGAGCCCAAGGCTCATGGCTTTCCTTAGTTTAGGGCTGGATGAGGTAAGGTAGGTTTGCTGTGAATAAAGGCACTAATGAGGAGTAAGAGTCCCACACTAACCACTGAAGTTAAGTTCTCTGACAAAGTAAAGTTCCTAAAAGGGTAGTGTGGGACTTGGAGGTCAGAGAGAGGACTACACAAGGAGTCTCTTACTTTCCCTGTTTAGACACGTCAATCACTTCCAAGTTCAGTTCACAGGTACAGCTTATATGGGCACGGAAGGAAACATTTAAATTCTTAATAGTCAAGACTGAAACAAAGGATCATGGGAATACACTTCACCTCCCTGGTGGGCCCATCAATCTTCTCAGGGGCCTCTGAGCACACAGAGGGCGGCCCTTGTAGTGAGAGGATGCTACTTACTTGCAGGACACTTTTGTTCTATCAGCCACCATGGTCCACTGCTGCTGATTGGTGGAAACCTCAACGTAGTAACTGTAGCTTCGATCGTCACAGTCCCAGAGTAATAACCTGAACAAAGAGAAAACACTACATTGTCTTTGCATCCTAACTGTCATGGGGCTATATCATTCCTTCCCTGTCCTCTGTGCCCCACCTTGCACCCAGGCTGTAGAAGGAGGGTGAATCCCAATGAAAATGTACGAAAAGGACTGGGCTCAGGCTGTGCATTAGCTCTTTGGAAGTCTGCTTCACTTCTCAACCAACCCCAGGAAACCTCTGTCCCTTTAGCAACAAAGTTCAGACTGGCTCAGGAGGGAGACTGTTCTGTGTCTTCTTTTTAGGCTCTCCAGCTGTCATTTGTAGCATCTGAGCTAGCTGAGGAGGGTAACATCCCAGAAACACTGCTCAGGGACTCTGTGCTTTCTAACTGGTGCTATTAAGCACTTACCGTGTTTTGTTTCTTCTCATTTTTACATCGTTTCCCCATGGCTGTGGTAAGACTACTTGATGTGGAAATACAGCTATCCCTTAACATCTATAAGAGACTAGTCCCAGCACACCCAAAAGTCTGTGGCTACTCAAGCCTTTCGGTAACACAATAGCATATATATTTTATTATACAAAATCTATGTAGTCATATATATTCACATACCTCTGACACACATGAATACAAATATATATAGATAGATAAACACATATAAAGATGTGTGTCTATGTGTATGTGTACATTTTCCACAGACAAGGTCTTATGGTGTAGTTTAGGCCAATAAGCCCACAATCCTGCTTCAGCTTCATGAGTGCTGTGATTACAGGGTTATTAACAGCTTACCTGGTCTCCTCATAATTCAAATTATCCTCAGGTTACTTATAATACCCAATATAAAGCAAATGTGATGTAAATAGTTTTGTTCTGTATTTTTAAAGGAACTGACAAGAACAAAATCCTTTTATGCAAACAAAAAATTTAAATCCGTGTTCAACTATGTGGACCTCAAGTTTGTGAGGGCCAAGTGCCCAGAAAACATACTCATTATCCGGGAATTTACTATATCAGTTCTGCTCTGAGCCCTCTTTCTGCTCAGCTGAGAACTTCAATGGACTATGAGTCCACTTACATGAAGTTCAAAGCAGAATATACTTACCTACCAATTTCTAAGGAAGGTGTTGATTGGGAAATGGGATGAGGGCAACTTCTAGAAGGCCAGAGATGTGCTACTTTGATCTTAGTGGTAACTAATAGCTAGCTGCAAGAGCATGTAAATATTCATCAGGCTATGCACAAAAGATGTGTGACCCACATACCCTACATGTGTGCTTCTTCAATTAAAAACACAATCTGAGCCTCTCAGTATGGGATCTATAACTGTCCCAGCTGTCTTTGCCTACACAAAGTATGAACAGGAAGTCATATGCATGTACTTGCAGTCAGCCACCTGAATGTAGTGCCCATGTCTACATAGTCTGTCTGTACCTGGAGCTTGGAAGAGCCTCTCACCTGGAGCCCGTGCTCAGTGGATGTCAGCTGGGCAAACACAGCAGTAACAATGATGATTCTGAGAGAACCTCATTTCCTTAATGCTTATGTGGGTCAGGCCCCAGGTTAAGAGCTCTGCAGTCTGGTCTATTATACCCACCTGAATATCCTCTTAGCAAGCATGCTGGCATTGCTCACATTATATGCATAGTAGAAGTAAGCCTTGTGGCTGTAAGTATCTTATCTAAGCCCACTGTTGGTAAGTGAGGGATGCAAGACTCCAAACTGATGTCCTGGTCAAAACCCAGGTCTGTTATTCCAACTTCATTTTTTTTCCTTCCTTCCTTCCTTCCTTCCTTCCTTCCTTCCTTCCTTCCTTCCTCCCTCCCTCCCTCCCTTCCTCCCTCCCTCCCCCCTTTTTATTTACTTTTGGTTTTTTGAGACAGGGTTTCTCTGGATTGCCTTGGAACCTGTCCTGGAATTCACTGTAGATCAGGCTGGCCTCAAATTCAGAGATCCACCTGCCTCTGCGTCCCAAGTGCTGGGATTAAAGGAGTGCACCACCAACACCTGGCTCTTGTATTCCCACTTTATGTATCTGGATCGTATTCCTACTTCATAACTGCCATTCCTAGGATATTCTTTAATCTCACAACTACAGTCAATGAAAATCCTTGCACAAGTTTTGTGTCATGTGTAAGGCTACTGTGGAGAATTACTGCTGCTATGATTTGTTTCTGGACATTTTACCTAGGGCTGGCAAGTGTTCCACCACTAAGCTATGTTCACAGCCCTCTTACTTTGCTTTTTGAGGCAGGATCTAAGTTGCCAAGGCAGGCCTTTAACTCTTACTTGGTAACCCTAGGAAGGCCTTGAATTTTTTCAACCCCTGGCCTTTCGGGCGTCAGCAGCTAGGATGACAGGCCTGTGCCCAAGGCCCAGTTCCTTTTCCTTCAGTTCTTTGTTTCATAGTTCTGTTTGCTGACAAATAATAGTAATTTGCTATTACACATATGGGGAAATCTCAAGTTAATTAATTGTTCTCTTCATCTAATAGTTCTAATAACAAGTTTCCCTAAAGACAACCTTCACTAGGATTCTTGGGAGTTTTTGTTTTGTTTTGAGATGGGGTTGCCCAGGCTGTTATAGAACTCACTTTGTAGACCAGGCTGACCTTGAACTCAGAGATCTGCTTCCTAAGTGCTGGGACTAAAGGCCTATGCCACCATGCCTGGCTCTCTCATTAGGATTTGGGATTATTACTGGGAGAACCAGAGTGTTACAACCACCTATCCTTCCAGGTAACTATGAGTAAGTGTCTTGACAGGGTACCCAAATAAAAACCCTGGTCCCTGTGGGGCGGAATCTAACCAGATCTCACAATGTTTTGTGGAAAGAGATCACCTTGAGGATACCAGACATGGAAAAATGAGCAGTTGAGTATGGTGACTGTCCTCAGAGATTTCTGGAGTGATGATGGAACTAGAAAAACCTGTAAACTGATTGGTGGTGGCACATGACTTTAATCCCAGTACTTGGGAGGCAGAAGCAGGTGGGTCTCTGAGGTGAAGATGAGCCTGATCTACAGAGTGAGTTTCAGGACAGTCAGGACTCTTACACATCTCAGGGCAGGGGTGGGATTTGGGTAGAGGACTTGTAAAGTTACACCTCTGTCATCTATATCATAGGTCCTGACTTCATAGCATTTCATTCTATGGATGCCCCACAATATAATCAGTCTCTTAGGACTCAACATTTAGGTAGTTAGTAATATTTCACTGTTAGGAAAATTCTTTAATAAACATTGTTAACTAAATCTAATACTTTCTTGAAAGTTTGTATAAAAAAATTCTCATTTTGAGTCTGTGGTATGTAGTATAAAGTAGCTATAGACCTTTCTTCTCCCACACCACAAACAAAAATCTGTAACAGGTTGTACTGCCAGTAGTTTTTAGCCAGCACCTTGTTCTGTACATCTTATTGATAATCTACTTAGAAACACTGCTGCTGTTATAGATGAAACACATTTCATTAATCTGCAGGTTTTTTAAAAACTTATGCTTGAACTTGAACATTCTGTGCATTTTCTATATTTATCACATTTGTTAATGACTTACAAAATGTCCTCTACATTTAAAGGATATTAATTCACTGCCTATCATAGTTGGCATGCTAAAGATATTAATTTTTATTAGCGTAGTCCATCGATCTTAACCTCAATAATTTCTCCTAGCCTAAATTTTTTTTTCTTTCCTGAATAGCAGCCAAGAGCACACACTGGTTGAGACATCGCCTTCCTAGTCTTCTATTAAGAGTCCCTGGGGAATGCAGGGTCATGGTGACTCTTAAGTGGAAAGGGACACTGATGGATGGCAGGTTATCAAGTCTAGGGCTATCTTCTCCATGTGCAGTTTTAGAGGGATTCTAATTCATGTACCAGGATGCCTATTTGCTTGGAACTTAGGCTTCATCAGGAATAAAATCCTTTTGTTGATTCAACTGAAAAAGCAAGTACAGTTTAACACCCGGAAAGAAAAGCTGGCTCAATCTCCTTTCTTTCTGCGGGTTAGAATTCAGCTCTCGTTAGGCACAGGGTAAAGCTGTACCACCTCCCTCACTTGCTTCTTTGTCTGCCTGCAAAGGCTGTTCTTAGGTATTTGCACTGACAGCATAGAGACATTTCTGGCTTGTAATCTGGCTGGGAATGTTTGCAGAGTGTGATCACCCAGTACAGACGCTCCTTGTGACCTTAAAGGAGATGAGCTCCTTAAACATACCCCTCCCTCCCTACCTCACTATCAGAAACCATTTTCAAAGAGGCCGACTTTATCCCACCAGACATTCACCAGTACAGATCAGGCCTGTGAACGGCTGCCACAGACTCCCCATCTAATGAGCATGGCATGAAATGCCCGGTGACATTACATGCTGTCTCCTCCATCTCCCCTTGTTCTTACAGTGGAGTCTCCCTAAAAGCAGTGAAGTGCTGGTTTAAAAATAAATTGATTAGCAGATGTGATTCTGCTTACATCTTCCATAAATGCTCTGGCTGGTTGCATACCATTGATTACCCAGGGCTCAGTTTACAGCAACTAATTGCTCTCCTTGCTGGTGTTTTGATACAAAATTCGATAGTGAATATGATTTCAAAACTCTTGTCTTTGTGGCCTGAGTCAGAAGTGACTGGAGGCAAACCCAGTGGACTGAGTTTTCCCTTCTTGAAATAATTGCTCTCTCATCAATCTGTGAAGAAAGTTTCCAAATTGTAGCATTCTAATTGGAAAGCCTGCATTATGCATGCGATGACAAACTATGTTGTGCTGAATGGCTTTTTTTTTTTTTTTCATCCCTTTCTTAAGGGACTAATTCCATGCCAGATTATGAACAATGGCTGAAGCCGAACAGAAGAGATCAACAGTTTCTCCACTGAATGGGTGCCTTTAGACCAGGAGCAAGGGCCTGTTTGCTTGTCCCTAATTGCCTATCTTTTGTGGCAGCCTTGCTGGAAGACACAGGGACACAGCACACTGCTGCTATTGCTAAAAGCTTCCTCATTTGGGGAAAACAACCAACAAAAGCAAGAGCAACTACTCGG